CTCCTCTGTGTCCATGTTCTTCTTCGCCCTATAACTATAGTCCTGCTGGACACGTTATTTCAGGAGACGTAAATATAGTTCGTAATGAGGACTTTAGAGCACTTATTTTAAAAGGTCCTAAATATAGGGAACCCCGATCATTCAACTGGCGTCGGAATTTCATAAATATTATGGATTCTGTTGAAAATTATGCCAGACGATGGGAAAGATATGAAAAAGAAGACGTTAAGACCTTGTCAAAATGGATTGAATGTATCACATCCATGTTAAAGTCACGTATTAAAAGATTGAGGGGCAACATGAAAACCATCTATCCTTCTGTGTTCAATAAACCAGAAGTGAAAAAAAAAATTAAATAGATTACACGATCAGTACGTACTGGCTCCTGCCGACGAAGCAGGTACCAACATTGTCTTCGTTTGTAAGGCTCATTATATAAATTGCATTCTAGAACAACTTGGATTTATTTCTACAAGTGGTAATCCTACTTATACTCATACTTCCCTTTCTAAGGAAGAAATTCTTCAAAATCAACCGTCAGTTCTGAATACTTTTGATATTCCATAGAGCCAAAATAAATTCGAACAACCTTATATATATTGGATTCAGAAACTTCATAAGAATCCTTTCCAACAAAGATACATTGCAGGTTAAAGTAAATGTTCAACAAAGCCTCTTTCGTTACTCCTCACTAAGATATTGACAGTAGTGAAGAAAAAAATTTCAAGAGTACTGTGCAACTATATATTCAAGAATTGGTGTGAATCAGATGTGGATACTAAAAAATTCTAAAGAACTTTTGGACAATTTGAAATCATAAGACTTTACAAATATCAACAGCTTAAAAACTTACGACTTTTCAACTTTATACACAACAATTCCCCACGACAAATTAAGATCCAGGCTTTTTGATATCATTGACAGCTGCTTCTTCAATAAAAATGGAACTCGTAAATTTACTTACCTCGTCATTGGTCATTTGCAAAATTATTTTGTTATAACAGATTCTGATTGCACACATAAGTACTCTGAAGTTGACATCAAGACGATGCTTGAGTTTCTGATTGACAATATCTATGTGGTTTTGGAGACCAGGTCTTCCAACAATCTATTGGAATTCCCATGGGTGCAAATTGCGCTCCGTTATTAGCAGGCTTATTTTTATATTCATATGAAGCAGAATTTATGCGAAATCTTATGCGTGAAAAGAAGAAAACACTTGCTGTGGCCTTCAACTCAATATTTAGATATGTTGTCGACGTTTTGTCTATTAATAATAGTAATTTCCATTCCTTCGTCGATACGATATATCCTGGTGAGCTTGAGATAAAAGATACTACAGAGTCCGACACTTCTGTTTCATACTTGAATATTTTACTTGAAAAATACACTATTGGTAATTTAACAACCAAGCTTTATGATAAACGTGATGACTTTAATTTTTCTATCGTCAACGTCCCTTACTTATGCAGCAATATATACCCTCATCACCTGCATACGGAGTATAAATATCTCAGTTGATTCGATACGCAAGGGCATGCTCTACGTATGAACAATTTCCAAAACGAGGTAAATTATTGACAAGCAAGTTGAGCAAGGAGCACACGGCGATTGTGACCGGTCGGCAGGGGATGCTCACTCCTCCATGGCACCTGATCCCAACTCAGATGTTTCGGGGGTCCGTGTTTGTTCGGCTCTTATTTTGTATTGTTTTGTGGACTTTGAGACTGAATACTATTCATTATCTCCATATCCTTCTTGTGCAATATTTACCATAATGGGATGATGCAGACTCTAAGTTCATAGTCTAGGAACTTATTGAAACTAACGTCTTTATATTTATTTTCGAAAAAATTATCGTCTCGGTTTCAAGTCAAAATAAGTTGTGAATTCGTTTGTAATTTACCAATAATACACAATTAATTATATCAACACACGGACGATCCACAAGTGAAGTGACATCTATGTAAATACCAAATTAACACCTCCATGCCAGCCCCAGGCGTTCACTGTTTTTCCAGGTAAGTCCAGGGTCAATTTTCGCTTGATCGGCGTGTATACACGCGCAATCAAAACTTCGAGAGATGATTCAATGAAATTTGTGTAACGGGACACAGGTTTTGGTTCCAGAGATAGAGAACTTTGAGAGATAGAAGTTCGAGAGATCATGAGTAAATTTGCTAAGTAATAAAGAGGAAAAAACGGGACCGTGGGTTCACTTCGAGAGATCGGAGTTCGAGCCATCGAGAGTCACTTGTAACTTTTAATCATGGAAAGATAGTTTGACATGTTTTAACAAGTTTTTTTATTTATTTTTTTTTTTATAAATAGTTATTGCTTAAACATGATAAAGCAAAGTGTACTAAATTTCAACAGGACACACTTATGCCAATATATTTTATAATGTAATATATTTAAATGCTGCTAATTACACATAGATATTTACATCAATTCATACTTCTTGGCAATTAATAGATTTTTCTCTGACGAAATCTTTTATGCCGAGTGGTAGAAAAATTAGAAATAAGAGTCAGCTGTTGAAATGACGATGTTTGGGATAAATTAACGATAATTTATGATAAAACATTTTGATATAACAAGAACCCCTAAAACAATTTGCATAAACACTGTCATTCTGTAGAAACTCGACTAAAGCGTCTTGACAAATTTGATATTCATACTGTGAAAAAATAAAATATTAGTATTTCACAAATCACTAAAGCGTTGAGAAGATTCAATTAAAAGTAATTAATTTACTAGTATGCCATAAAGACAACATTGTTTATAGATACCTCTTTAGTGAGCTCAATCTTCGTTGTTGTTTGAACAACGTTGTTTGTTGCAGTTGTCGAATCAATGAATTTGATTGAAAATGGACCACCTTTTTTCTGTCTCTTATGGAATGGAAACCTAAAGGCAGACTAAAATGAGTAAAAATATCCTTTCGAAAATCGATGAGACATTTGAGACAAAATAATCGTGTAATGGAATTTGAGGAGTAAAAAGTCATCGATATTGTTATGCTGCATTTTATTATGCAGCTGTTATGTACGAATGGAAACGTCCTGAATAGATTTTTTACGGGCTTATAGATGATCCTTATTGTTAATAATTTAATGAAAAATAATTATTGTTTATTGTAAACATTATACGTGAGTCATATCACTTAAATGTCTTACTGATTTTACGTCTTTTAGAGGACACATAGAAACTATGTACAGTATTAACGCTGAAGTCTTTTAGTAGTCTTAGAAAATCTACCGTGTAGTCAGGAAGAGGGAATTGGGCACTGATCAAACAATCATTGGTTGTAAAAGACTGCAACAATTAAAAAAATCAATAATAGTCTTTGAAGACAGAACATGATTTAAAATAAGGCATAAAAAATATTTTACTTTTAAAAAACACTTCATTCAGGAAAAATGTTAAGAACCTGAAGACAGACTGCATAATAATATGTTCCTCTATCCTTCTCGTATGAAAGGCGGCACCTGTATTCATCACCTGAAAACTGTATCTGTGTTTAGATTTGCGTATTCAGATAATTACTAAAGCGACTGAAAAAATTAGTTGATGATAAAAACACTAAAACGGTATCGTTTGAAGTCGATTTTTGGAAATTCTTTAATCGAAACAACAGCTTTTGGGCAAGAAAAATTACTGAAGAAATCAAATATTCACAAATATTTTTTCAGACATGTATTTATCCTTAATTTTCATTCTGAATAAGTACTAATTTTTCTTTCCACTGATTTTGAGCTTGATTACTATTTCGTGTAGGGAATATCAACAGAATAAGCAATGTCACCTTAATATTAAATGGGCAAACTTTTAATAGGATCTTGGGCATTTTCGCTAGCCAATGGTTTCTGATATCCGCTTCTAGCTCTCCTAGAGTTTCAGAAGCCTTTAGCTAGCAAAGTTGGATCTTGAGTTATATTTGATGGTATATGCATTTATATCAGGCATACTATTTAAAAAAAATCATAAAGGCCTTTTGCTTTATGTAAAAGCAGTTACAATTGATCAAAGTGAAGGAAAAAGCAATTTCAGTGTGGGAGGGTGGGGGGCACAACCCTACATAATTCCCTGAACAAGGTATAAATAAAGGTCACAGCCGTCTTTATTGAGGGAACACTACTGTAAATAGTTTATTTTGGAAATGTAGTGGGTACGCCTACTACCACCACCATACCAACCTTTTTACAGGTCTATTTATGCACAATATATGAATGTATGAAGCAAAACCCTCATGATATATGATATATAATTCAAAACCCTCCATCCATCCCTTCTCGCCGAATTAATTTGTCACGTTTAGGAAAGTGGTTTACATTTTTGTTTTGTTTGTTTTTATCTTGTCAAGAAATTTCTGGGTTGGATGTTTTTTTAACTGGGGTGGACCTCTCCTGGAAAAAAAATGGCTGGATCTGCACCTTGTGTTTTGACAATTCACATAAATATCAATATGAATATGAAAGTTTCTTCAAATATGCGTTGCAGTTGGCAGTAAACAGCTGACAGTTGCACAGGCAAAAGTGGCTCGCATGAACTTCATATGAAATTTGCACGAATATCGTGCGAATTCTTCGCATGAAAAGGAGACGAAAAGGACCACGCATGATATTCGCATGAAAATATCATGCGATTTTGACATGAAATTCGCACGAATATGATGCGAATAAAAATAACCGCACGAAATTCATATGAATATTTTTGCTACTTTCTTTACAGATCTTCATATGAATTTCGTGCGAATTTCATGTGATATTCATATCAAATCCATGTGATGTACACAGTATATACTTTTCCTAGTATATTGGACTTTCAATTCTTTTAATCCATTTGATGAAAAGTATAAGGAAATTCTAATACTTAGATCTGTATATGAATTAGTACAACTAATCATCAAAGTTTCACTGTTACTGATATTAAAAAAAATGCAATAAGTACAATCTCAAAATCTGGATCCAGCAAATGAATGAATGACCTTTATCTATATCTTAATTTGAAACTGCTTTATTTGAACACATGCAGATTTTGAGGAAGCACCACTATGATTATCCAAGTTATTCTTTTGATGAACAAACAACTGGACACATTCTGTTTCTTAATCTTCTTTATTGAATGCTTCAATTTTTGACAATTCTCTGTTCAAGGGCCACCCATATGTCTGGAGATAATAATTCATCTGCAAGAGAAAATAATTGTAATGACTGCTCGGTACCGGTAAATGAAATACAGTCATGAATTTTACAACTGCATTTTCAAAGTCAATATTTCCATAGCATATTCAAAATATGAACAAATGTATACATGTATATAGCAAACTCATACCATCCCTATGTTCAATTTAGTATTTATAGGTTGAACATATATTGCCTACACTGTAAATGATCTTAAAAAAATTCAGAATCAAACATCATAAATTATAATGAATTCAAAATCATACATCATAAATTATAATTAAAAGTATATAATGTTTCTTAAGTATAAAATTATTGACAAAAAATGAAAACAATTTTCATGCAAATGACTTTAAACAAAATAATCTTGTGTCAGGTTTCAAACAAACCTTGAGAAATATTGTCTCTGTTTCATTGACCCAGATCTGATGATGCAATTTGTATCTGTTGCAAGGGAATTTAAAAGCAAAATTTACCTACCATTGCATCTATGTTCCTTCTGAAGGCACGCCAGAAATCTATGGCTGTGATTAGTGTGGTAACTGGATTTTTTCTGAACAATTTGTGTCCATCAGCTACAGCTCTCTGTAAAGCAAAGAACAAAAATAAATCTAAAAATATTATTAAGACTGGCCATGAATTTAATTTATATCTCATTTATTTTTCTTATTATGAAATTAAAAAACAAGATCAACTTTTTAAAGCAATATTAATAAGTTTGAATCTTTGTAATTATTTAAACGGTCATGAAAAAATAACTATGCACTAATTTTGCCTCCGTTATCAAAGATTCTTGGGTTTATATTGTTTTTGCACTGTATGTCCATCTTTTTGTCTTCCGGTATTCGTCTGCTAAAACTTTAACCTAACTCATTACTTATGAGTGGGTGGAACTATATATATGGCTTCATATTCCACAGGTGTATTTCTTGTGACAAGAACTCTTTTTGGGGGTACTATAAAATTTGACCTCTTGACCTTGATATTAAGGTTTGAGCCACTTTTAAAAAAAATCCCTAAACTTTAACCTAGCTAGGCTATAATTTTGAACATCTAGTGCTATCAATGTGATACTTCACATTATTTTGTAATCATTGTGACAAGACCCTTCAATGAGTTTTTTTTACCATTTGGTCTTGACCTAAAAGTTTGACCCACTTTTAAAATCTATAATCTAAGCCATAACTTTTTAACAGTTAATACTAAATGTCTCACATTTCACAGGTTTATTCCATATGACTAAACCTTCCTTCAAATGCTAACAATTTTGACCTTTTGACATTGACCTTTGAATTTGCCTTGCATTTCAGAAACTTCAGTCCTTGCTTTAAGCTGGCATATAGGCATATATTAAAGCATAAACAACTAAACATAGGATAAAACAAGAGGCCCAGGGGCCACAGCGCTCACTTGAGAACATCGGCTAGGAAAAAGCACATATCAGATCAGAACTGAAAGTTTATGAGGTGGGGGTAGGGCTTGAATGTTACCCCCACCCCAGCCAGGGGTTCATGTTTGAACAAACTAGAATCTACACTACCTGAGGATGATTCCATATAAATATCACTAATCATGGCTCTGAGGTACTTGAAAGGAAGATTTTAAAAGGTATCCCTATATATCCCAATTAATGTAAAACTTGGGTTGGCCATTTTGGCCCCACCCTAGTCCCAGGGGTCATGATTTGAACAAACTTGAATCTATACAACCTGAGGATGATTCCACATGAGTTTCATCTTTCCTGGCCCAGTGGTTCTTGAGAAGATTTTTTTAAAATGCCATGAATTTTTCACTAATTCATAATTATCTCCCCTTGCCAAAGGGTGTGGCCCTTCATTTTAACAAACTTGAATCCCCTTTACCCAAGGATACACAAGGAAAATGGTCTAGTGATTCTTGAGAAGAAGATGAAAATGTGAAAATTTTACGACACGCCTATGAAAACTATACACCAACAGAAACTTCTGATCAGAGAAGCTAGCTTACTTGAGCCTTTGGCTCAGGTGAGCTAAAAAAGTGTCCCAACAAGATGTGTTTGTGAAACACTATGCGCCCGGCGGCAACAAAGTTCTAAAAAGCAATTTTTAGCAAAGGAATCTCGGTCAAATTCACACAATCATTGTCCTTATTGTTAGTTGAAAGTGCTTAATTAGTGGAGTATGCGAAGTCTCCATCTCTCGCGGTTCAAAAGTTAGGGCGAAAATTCGAAAAAAGCTATTTTTAGCATATAGTCATAGTCAAGGTCACAAGGTCATTGACCTTGGTGTCAGTTGAAAGTGCTTAATTAGTGAAGTATGCATACCAAATATGAAATCTCTATCTCTAGCTCACGGTTCAAAAGTTATGGCGAAGGTTAAAGTTGACAACAAACAGACAGACAAACAGATAGACAAACAGACAGACAGGACAAAAACAATATGCGTCCCGAATAAATTCAGGCGCATAAAAAAATGATAAAATACTTACATGTACTTTTGACAAATCGGGATGATTTAGGAGTTAGACTACTCTGGTACTTGAATTCTGATCCTTGTGATGACAAGTAACTGTGCCTACAGAGAAACTCAAAAATGTCAGATAATGTAGGATCAATAACAATGAGTTCATTATCCCTTTGTCACTTTATTTAAAACATGTATTCTATAAATTAACGAAGATTATATTTACATTAAAGAAATGCAAGATAAGCAAAAATAAGCTGAATGGTTAAGGTTTTGCTACATGTATACATGTAATAACAATATCTTTTTTATAAAACAATGAATACTGTAAACCAACTATTATTCGCGTGCGAGAAAATTTTGCAAACTTCGCGAGAGCCTTATCATCGCGAATATTTCTCCCCACGAACCGGTCCTAAAAGTATATTTGTCTATGAAAAACAGATGCATAAAGGCTTTAATTATCGCGACAATTAGAGGTCGCGAAATAGTTTATCCCTGGTAAATCGTGAAATAAAGTTGCTGTGAATAAAAGATGGTTTACAGCACCTCAGGCCCTGCAACAAATATTAAATTTCTCTCTTAGATTTTTTTTTACCTGTTTACATGTATCATATCTATAATCTTGGAGAAGCCATCAGTGTGGTATAATGGAGTGCCATGCAAATACCTGCAAGTATAGAATACAACATTTAATAAATATTTTTGAAACTAATATATATTTTTTAAATATGTACAGTACAACTCATTTTTGGGAATTTCAGTCTTGCATTCTGGATGTAATTAAATAAGCCCCTTTATATCTGCATATATTTTAGAATTCACACAGGTTCTTGTGGACAGGATAGTGGGGTATTTTTTATTTGTTGAAGGGTTGAAAGAATTTTCCAAGGGGGGGGGGGTGTTTAGGTTCCATGTTCTTTCGCCCTAAAAATTGTTCGCCCGATTTCCTGTTCGCCCGATTTCTCATTCGCCCAGAGTCTGCTTGCCCTAAAATTTGTTCGCACAGGGTCTGTTCGCCGTAATTGAATGTAGATATTGGGCTAAAAATATTTCGGGTGAACGAACTCTGTGCGAACGGACTCCTGGGAACACGTAGATCAAGCGAACAAACCCATTACCGCGGGGTTTGAAGAAGAAAAAAAATTATTTTACATGTACATGTAGTTAAATAACTCAATAGGATACCGGGTGGAGCATGGTTTTTAAAGTAGGGGGTTTATAAACCTGGGAAAAAGTATTTGTATGGATAATTTACCAGAAAAGTTTTTGAAAAAGGAAAGGAAAATATATCTCAGAACTGAGAATCCTATTTTGTTAAAGGGGGGGGGGGATTTTGTATTAAGAACCACATTTCTTTATACATTACAACTTTAGCTTTTCACTCAACATTTTCTATGGTACCCTAAAAACACAAACAAAAATTTTGAACTTTCTACTTTACTTATTCCTTTTTTTGCAAAGCCAAAGGGAGGGTTGCAACCCCCTTAGAATAATCTAACTGTGTCTTAAGTTTGGGACAAGCCCTCAGTGACCGGTTCCGTTGGACATTTATCAATATAACGATAGAACATTCTATCAATATCTACAACCCTGCTACCCCCTCCCCCCCCCCCCTTAGATTCGCCACTATGTGTGTTATTTGCTTGCTGCAGTTTATATATTAGATTTAGGTGCAACAGGATCTAAAAACAAACCAAAACATTAGGCCTACCCTAGTTCACTCGGCCTTTGGCTTTTCTATAATATTGTGCGAAAAGGCTTTTAAGCAGAGAACCTGTACCACAGGGGCTTGTGTAGAAAAAATAAATCAGTTAAAAAAATTAGTACCTAGGAGAAAAAAAACACGTTTTTTCTCCTAGATACTAATTTTTTAAACTGATTTATTTTCTCTACACAAGCCCCTGTGCCTGTACCAGGCCCATCTTTCAGTTTCAACACATACCTCAGATATAATGTTAGATTTACTTGAATCTGTTATTATTAAGCTGTCAACATATATCTGGTATAAAAAGAAGTTGAAAATCTTAAAAACTTACAGAAAACATCCTGCTCTTTCTAGTCTGTTTCTAATCCGCATGATGACGTAATTTGTGACGTATGGCCTTCCATAAAAAACTAGCTTTGGTTAAATAAAGTAAATTTATATATATCACTTAGTCATCAGCGTTCGTCTTTGAAGCGGAGATGCATTTTCAAGACAAAGATTTGAACGACGAAAATTATAAAAATTAAGGTGTATTTCCCGATTCATTGATGAATACGAAACTGAATAGCCAGGTTCCATTTGCACTTCCTGTTACAGAAAAAAAAAACCGAGTCAGCAAGAGCTCCTTTCTATCGTTTGTTCCAGACTTTCCCCTTGGCTGATTGTGATCTAATTCCTTAAAACAATGGTAAATACCCGTACGAAATTTAAGTCACGTATTTTTAAAAAAATCCAGGCGTATTTTAATCTGAAAATCCTTGTCGAAATCTCTATTGAAATGAATATATAAAACCAGGCGTATAATGTAAAATACAGGCGTACACGAGGCGTAATCCTCCCGTATTTTTGGCTGAAATATGCAAATGAGTACGCCTGGAAATTCAAATTAGTTTGGAAATTTTAAAAATAGAATTACGCCTAGATTTCAAGCATACCCTTAAAAATACGCCTTCAAAATAAATACGCCCGTATAAAAGAATACGCCCGTACAAAAAAATACGCCTGTACAAAAAATATGCCTGCTTTAAATAGATTTGAATTAAATATTAATTATATAACAGCAATGGGAGCTACAACTATAGCATAAATATAGATATACAATCAACTTTAGTACAAAGAGTTTTGACTACATATACTAAAAAAGATTAGACAAATTAAGCTTAGCATACATCACTTTTATTTTCTTAATATTTTTCAGTGTGATAAAATGTGAATGAGATTCATTAGTAAAGGATTGTCATTAAAATTTAAAAAATCATAACCTTACATTTACTTTTTCAAAGCACAGTTACATGTTAGAATATATTAACCGTTTCACAGCATTTTAACATCCAAGGCTGAGTTTTATAGTAAACAGTTGAAACATTCCAATAATCACAGTGAATCACAGTTTTGAGAATCATGCCGAGTACTCCTGCCATTCTTTTTACTCCTAAATTGGCACAAAAGATGCAAATCACGAGCAATTCTGTCATTCACGTTTCACATCACATTTCCCAATCACATTTTCATAGATTTAAATATTCACAAAAGAAGTTTGTAGGCTTTATAACTGGCATTGCAAACGGTCATCTTCTTCCTGATGCAATCTTCCAATGGCTACAGTTCACTGGCATTATTGCATTTATGGAAAGCTATGCTGCTGGTCAACTCTTAATATTGCAAGATCTTTTCTCCTTCTCTTATGTCCATTTCATCATTCAATCAATTTTCCAACTGTGATAAGGATTTAGATGTAAATCATTTTCTGGAAAAAAGAATAATTTATGCAATTCAAAATACTACTGACCCAATTTTCAATCATTAACATCTGGCTCTGCAAATCAAAAGCAAATGCAGCTGTCTTTTATTTTCATGGTTAAAAAGTTTCAATGTTAAGCTATGTTTTCAAAATATTTACCTCTTCTACACCATCTGTGCTTTGTTGTGGCTTTCTCTAATCTCATTGTTCTTGGCATGACCTGCCTGGTGGTTTAAAATTGGCGCAAATACTTGGATGCAGATGCTGTTATTTACAACCCCCTAGTAAGCTAAACTCTTTTATGATTTCTGGAAGTTCTACTCAGTACAATTTGTAATTTTGAAGAAAAATGCTGTTTTGTTTACAGCTAGAACATAAAAATAAAATTCCATCAATGTATAAACAAGATGTATTCATTATATGAATTAAAAAGATACTAGGGTGGGAAATAGAACTGCTGTACACAAGCCGGATATAAATTGATAAGCCGTTCTTAGGTTTACAACATCACAGATAAGTCGTTCCTAAACATGCTCCACACATCTGTAAGTAATTAGCACAATCCCAGCAGGTTAGGCTAGGGAAGTGAAAGTTGATGGTAATGTAATAGAGTATCTAAATTGCCAAATATAAATCATTTTATATTTAAGAAAAACATTTAATTGTAATAACGTGTATGTTTATAGCCTGACTAAACAATTAATCATGAAGTTCAAAGAATATACTATCTACTTTACAGTTATAGAAATCATTTGTGTTAAGAAAAATAATATTATTTTTTTTTAAATGGGATAATGTTCTTAAAAAAAGTTCTTAAACAAAAAATCAGTTTAATTTATGAAAAACAATTGCTTTGTTATTTAATACAACAAACTAAATGCAATATTGTAATGTATACAATCATGCAATACTTTGTTTTTCTTGTTTAATTAAGTTATCATAAAAATGTTTCTTATGCAACTCAATACTTTAAAAAAAGAGAATGAGCTGACTAAGTTTTTTTGCCTAAGTTGAAAAATCCACCCGAATTTTCAAAAATACGCCTTTTGAAATTTTCTAAGTTTTAATTTCCTTGTGCCAAAGAGACTAAATAGAAAATACGCCCGGATTTAGAATTTACGCCTGGAAAAAAGGAGACGTATTTCTGGCAAAAATACGTGTACGCCTGAAAATGAAGCGTATTTTTAAGAATACGTCTCTTGTACGCCAGGATTTGCAAAAAATCCAGGCGTAATACGTCTCTGAATTTCGTACGGGTATGTATGCTTTGTTAATTGTTTATCATATTTTGTGTTTATAATGCACATTTTTATTGAAAATTCAACTTGCAACGAAATCTTTCAGAGTAAATTCGGATTTTGTTCTCATTTCAGGTTCTGCGTAACGCAGCCAGGTGAATCGAATGGTCTTTTTATGCTTAGTGACATTTATTTGAAGGTTTACTAAATTTTGGGTAAGTAATTAAAAGTTATTTTTATTTTAACTAACTGTCATTACAAGTCTCTACACATGTGTCACAACAAAATACACAGACTGTGTGTTTTGTTCTGACACATATTTAGAGACGTAACCATAGATAGAACGTTCTATCGTTAAAATGATATTGTCCTACGGACCCGGTTTAACGATAGAATTCGTTCCATGTATTCGTAATGTAGCAAAAGAAACACGGGCAATAACTCGCATAGTGCATTTACTAGGAACAACCATTAGAGTTCCGAATGTAAACATGGCAGGTAATTTGAATCTAGAGAAAAACGTTGAGAAAATTAATTGGATTTTCGTATTTATATGGATTATTTTCTGGGATAAAAGGCATAAGCAATCTCAAAAAGGTTTGTTTTGATTAATTTATAAGTTATTTTCAGTGCAAATCCGTTTGTATCCTTCAAAATCGTTTCGGTGCGATTCTGCAATTTTTTGCTACATTGCGAGTATATGGGTGGTATTCTAACTGTGGTGAGGGCTTGTACCGAGACACAGTTAGATTATTCTAACTATTGTAACCACAGCTTCAATAGACCTAGTGTATCCTACAAAATAATTTAGACATAGGATGATAGGTCCAACAAAAGGTTCCATCTTCTAGGGGATTAATTTGAGGTCCATGCAAAAAAATGTAACTATTGTATTTGATTTATTCACAATTGAGGTACTATTCTAACTATTCTATCCAGATTAAAAAATCAATCTTTTCAGTATAATTGCACTGTTGTAAGTAATTTATTAAAAATTCATCAATGACATGTTTATTGTTAACAAATAAGAATATCACAATTAAAATGAAACATTTTATCTCATTTGGTTCAATAGCAGCCTGCTATCAGGATATATAGAGTAGGTCAATAAGACACTGTATGTGTTGAATATAAAATACATGGTTACTGTCTTGAAATATAAGCGATATTTGGGCGAGGGTAAGGAAACGTGATAGAGGGCGAGGCTTACGTTTTCGACCCGAGCCCAAATATCGCTTATATTTCAAGACAGTTATCATGTATTTTGTTTATCCTGCAACAAAATTCTGCATTTGAACGTTCAAAACAAGCCATTTTCGACAGATTTAGGTACATCTCTGCAGTGGAAACTATGACGCCATGGCGTAAATATTGTAGTATACATGACCTCACAATGCTTTTAGAACGTCAGAATACATACACGAGGCTTTATTAGGGCAGTGAGCGGATAAAGCTTTAGTTTATTAGGTTACCTTTATTAGGTCAATGCAAGGAGTAGTTGCAGGATAAAGTCTATTATGCAGTTATGAATGTGCTTAACACAGGGTCTTTTGTTTCGCTCTAAACATATAGTACCATTAAGCATACTCAGTAATACAAGTTGCCAAAACATGTACTTTTCAAGTGATATAATAGAATTTATTGTATTTAATGTCATCCTAATTTAGGAATTGGTTCCTTTGACCTAAACAATCGGAATATTAGTATGGGTAATAGCATTTTATGATAATCAAAATTTCTTTGTAGGACCCAGATAGCAAGCTTACTTTGGCCCAATGTTGGGCCAACGTTGTAAGTTACGTTGATCCAATGTCGGAAAATGATGTTGGGCCAATGTAATTTTGCTCATCGGCGCAACGTTGCGCCGACATGTTGGCGCAACGTTGGCCCAATGTCATAGAACGATAATTCTGACGTTGGTCCAACGTTGGGCCATTGTTGTCAGTTATGTTGGCCCAACGTCGGAATATGTATATTGGGCCAATGTAATTTTGCTCATCGGCGCAACGTTGCACCGACATGTTGGCGCTACGCTGGCCCAATGTCATACAATGATAATTCTGATGTTGGCCCAATGTAGGCCCAACGTATTTGTGCTTCTACATGTAGGCGCTACGTTGGCCCAATGTCAAACAATGATAATTCTTATGCTGGCCCAATGTTGGCCCAACATATCTGTGAACAAGGATATTTGGAAATCTATGGAATTCCATGGAAATCTAAGAAATTCCAGGAAGATACAATGAAAACTGAAATAATGATAACATCACAATTTATCAAATCTATATTTTCAAAATTAAAAAAAATCGTTTCTTTCACAGTGTGTTTTGAAACAAATATTACATATACACTTATAGATGTACAATGTAAGCACATTTTTTCTAAGTATTCTCACTGAACAACATTTCTTTGTAATAAAACAATACAATGAACTTCCAGTTGCCCATGTACATTTGCCGTACAAAGTTAATGACTAGACTAGAGTGACAAACACATGTATTAAGTACAAAATATCCACTACACAACTATATTAATAAAAAGATCCCATAAAATCAACACAGTCAAGCTATTTTCCCCGAATATACCAAAGATCCTAATTTATAAGTTAGATTCGAAATTTCTCAAGTGTCTGCTTGAATCACTTCCTCACTGATATCCCATGAAATTCACGAACGGATTCACTAAAGTTCGATGTTGATCATTATCATAGACACTTCAAACTTTTCTGGCACAATTTCTGAAAGAAAAGATGACCATTAGGATGTATTATCATCGATATCTAGCCTATCACATATATAAACATATAAATATATGACAAATAATAAAGTAAGGCTCTACAAGACTGTTAAGACAATTGGTTATTTCAACCTGACAGTTCGTATAGTGTAGAATAGAAATTCACTATGTTGCAGTGTTTTTTTTTTTCAAATTAGGATTAATTCCGATAAATGTAAAAATTTGAGAAGTTTACAGATGACAATCGAATACCAGACACTGATAAGAAAACTCGCTTTGGCCTTAAAATGGCTCTAGTGAGCTAAAGGAAAAGGTTAGAGCTAGAGCTAAAACTCTATGCCTGACTTACACTGAATATAAAGATATAAGATACATGTAATTTCAATTCATGTGATTTTATAGCTCTAATCAGAAAATTTAAGAAATCTTAGAATACCTTTTTGTTAATTTTCATACTGCTTTTGTCCTTCTTGTGAGCATTCAGATTCCTGTAAATGATGCATGTATAATTGTGCATCATAGAATATGATAGCTATTTCTAATAATTTATGCTTAAGTATTTAATGTAAAGTAATTAATATGCAAGGATGTGTAATTTATAGCATGTTTAGATTACCTGTCAGAATCCATTGTTTAGGATAAGGAAATTAAGAATATAAACCTCTTGTTTACTTTCATATAGTAGATGCAGTATTTTTATAGTTTTATGCTAAAAGATACAATTTAATAAAAACAATATTAGGTTATTTGTGTTAAATGAAAATTTGAGCTGGTTCTCACCATTTATACAAGCTGATTATTCGCCGGCGCAGTGGGAATCGTCTCGGGCACAGTCCACTGCATGCAACTATTAAATAATCAAAATAAGTGCTGAAAATGATCTTGAACATGCATTTTAAAATACATGTAAATATATTTTATTACATTGTACATCATAATCTGTAAATGCTGAAGAGAGGATCACTAAAATTCCTGAATCGATCCCAAACGAGGAAATACGGGTTGAAATCCATCTTTATGGGATGTTTAGAAGTGTTAAATTATTAAAACAAAATTGAAATAACGCTTGCTCAAACGATTTCACTGCCAGGCATTTTATGTGTAGTGTCTTGACTAAGGAACAGTAGCAGAAGCAATTATTCATTCAAGGATACGTTAAAATATTCTGTACATTGTACCTACCGCAATACCGGTCGTAAAATGTCTTCATCTTCTGTGAAAACAGAAATTCCACCCAAAACTAGTCATGATTCTCCTATTCGCGACACTCTCTTCCGAACTTTCCTTCTGTAACATCAACATGGCTGCGTGGAACACCCAAAAATTTAAATTTCGGCGCGGTGTGTTGTTTAAATTAATTGCTTATCGAGCCCGACTTCGATCCCGATGTAATCGTAATACTAATCGACAATTTTAGTCAAGAGAAAAATCTAAAGTTATATTCCATAGTTTTGAAAATCTACGTAAGGGTTAAATAATTAAAAATGAATATATAAACAAATAAATAAAAAATAAAATAAATAGATATTTTTTTTAAACGTTTCAACATCAGTTTTCATAGCAACATTAGTTCAACAATGTCGGGCCAACATTACAAAGATGTCCATACTTCAACATTAAAATTAACAATGTTTAGGCACGTAGCAACAAGGGGGGGGGGGGGGGCAGGGGGGGGCTGACCATAGAAAGGATGTCCCCCTCCCACTTTTTACCACAGTATAGTGATATCAAGGAAAATTTAGCTTGTCAACTTTTTCAGGTAAGTAAACAAAATTTCTGTGGTTGCCCCCCCCCCCCCTTCCAAAAACGATGCTACGTGCCTGATGTTGGCCCAACGTTGGAACAATGTCAGTGCACCAACTGTTGTAATGACAATGTCGGACCGATGTTGATACAATGTCAATGCACCAACTGTTGTAATTACAATGTCGGACCGATGTTGGAACAATGTCAATACACCGACTGTTGTAATGACAATGTCGGACCGATGTTGGCCCAATATCGTTCTGCCAACCACGATATGTAGCCGATCTACCAACCATATGCCAACATCGGCCCAACGTAAGCTTGCTATCTGGGGAAACGCTTCTCAGGACACAAGACTGAAAAACTGCCTGTAAACACAGCTATCATTAAAGTCAATGGATTACCTAAGAACATCCAAGCAGTATGATATCAGAGACTAGCAATTTTTATCACTCAATGTGGCAGAAAAACCTAAATAAATATTGAAATGTTCAATTTCTTTGTTCATTGCTTTTTTTCTCTTGTATATGAATATTGCATGATATTTATGCGAATTTCGCATGATTTTTACATGAAAAACTGATAATTTGGAATTCGCATGAATATCATGCGAAATTTCACTCACATGAAAATCGCATGAATTTCGCATAAATATTGTATGAGGACATTCGCATGAAATTCGCATGTGGAACTTTTCGCATGGTTTTTATATGATTTTCGTACGAAATTCATGCGAAAAGGCATTCGCATGAAAATCATGCGAGCCACTTTTCCCTGTGTAACTGTACAAATTCCAAAAGGATGGTCCGGACCACCCTCCCCTTTACTCGTAGATCTGTTCATGTAAAACATAACTTATAATTATGTTTAAACAAAGAGATATAAAATCTATTATTTAAATAATTTTTTCACTTTAGAAATGAACGGAAAATGGAAATTTATTTTGAAAACATCTTCCCCTGGGAAACAACTAGAAATCTTTTTTTCCGGTTTTATTCTTTCTAAATGTTTTGTTGTCTTATCGGGTGCGGGTGTTCTCACAATAATAACAAAATTTGAGGATTTCTGGAATTTTAAACTGTTAAATGCCAGAAAGGAGTAAATCGGAAGAAGAATTTTTCTTCTTAAAAACAAAACATTTATTTCATGAATTCTGTTGTCGGAATATAATTTGGTTGCTTTTCTGGACGCGGGAGAAAAAAGGGGAAGGCTAGGGGGATCACATGCTACAAAAGAATAAACTTTAGAATAGTCTTAAGTAACATTTGTTGGTATGTGTATCTATTTAATGCTAGAAATATTACTGAAAGTTATAATTACATATAACTTTTGTCTAGTGTGGAAATACGAGGGCTGTTCAATAAATAATGTCCTGAACTGTATGACATACAATACAGATATCATATGACATTAAAATTGGCTTTCTCTCATAACTGAATCTTTAATGAATTTATAACAGTTCATTTGACAACTTTTCATCACATAGTTTCATTGTGAGAAGCTGGGAAACAAGGGCTTTTCGAGACACTGCATTAAAAATGAATGGTAAAGATCGGTAAACTAGAGTGAAAATAAAAGCTTAAACAAAGCTGCTGTAAAACCTGTTAAAAATCCCAAAGAAATATTAACTGAAATATGTGACATTTACAGCAACCAATACCCTTTTTATAGACAAATGAGCAGGTGGATTTCAATGATAAAAAATATATAATGGGCATCAAAAACGGGTACCGTCCTTACAAACAATAAAATTTTAACACTTATGTACTGTTTGCCTAATTTCAAAAAAAAAAATACTTGATGATGTAGGATAGACATTAAGACAAATATCAAATTTGATAGACATCATATCGGGATTAATTTACACTGTTTTTAAGAAACGTTTGACGGTAAAAAAGCTTGGTACTCAAAGGTCACCCTGTATTTTGAAAAATGAGTGAAAACGACATCGTGTATGAATGGCTTAACAATTATATTAAAATATCAGTAATTGGAGTTATCCACGATTTTTGGATATTCAAACAGATAATGGAACTTGAATCTATTGCTTAAAATCCTCAAAACAAAATTTTCTATAAGATGTACATGACAAAAACAGGGAAGGTCTGGCGAGAGCTAAGAATTGCAAGAGCACAAAGACAGATTTCTTTACAATGTTCTTAAATATAAGCGGTATTGTTGTTCAAATTCGTATTCGGAGAGACAGTTTAATTTCTGGATGAGGCTAGGAAACAATTTTTTTGCAAAAAAATCGAAAGGTTTACATGTATTAGAGGAAGGACCCAGAATCAGGAATCCACTACATTAAATTTCTTCATGACAGCGTCCAAACCCGCACGCCCCGAAGAGTAAAGGATATTTTTCGGGACACACAGATAGTTAATATTTTTTCACATTAACAATATTCGCCAGATCTTTGACCTTTTGACTTATTTCTATCTCCAAACTTGAAAAAAAACACACCTTTGATAAGGAAGAAACAAGTCCAGGAAATCATTGGATCTGCCATTTTCCAGTATACCAAGGGTCATACCCAAAAATGAGTTCTGAAATCAATCAGAGATTGGATAAAAAAGGTTACGGACATGTGTTATAATTAAAAGAGATGAATAAGTAAAATAATGAAGACAAAATCATTGAAAAGCGTCTTTTGCTTCTTTCCGAGCACCGAGGACATTATTTATTGAACAGCCCTCGTATCTAGTAGCATCTTTCGACTTTTCTTTTTACGCTAGGAAAAGTACTTATATGTGTGAGATTATTTTGTGTCTTAAGTAAAAAACATTCATGGTGTTGGTGGTGGTGGGTATACCCACTACATTTCCAAAATATACTACATTGTATATCCAGCAATGTTCCCTCAATAAAGATGCCTGTTACCTTTTTTTATTCCTTATCTAGGGAGTTATATAGGGTTGTGCCTCCCCACTCCATGAAATTGCCTTTCTTTGCCTGATATCAAAGTATATTTTTTTACATAGAGTAAAAAGCCTTCATGATTTATTTAATAGTACATCGGATGTAAATACAAACCAACAACAAATACAACTCAAAATCCTACTAACCCCCTACCCCCCCTCGATTTTTTACTAACATAAAACCTTTAATAACAACCCCGGCAAAAATCTATTGAATTATTTGACTGCAAGGAAATGTGGGAATTTTAAGGAAATAATCTTTCCTCCTATGTATTCTTTCCATTGTTTAAAAATTCCTCAATCCGCCAATTTGTGTTATTATTATTTTAATATTATCATAGGGTTTTATCAATTAATCATGCGTATTAAAAATAACAAAACAGGAAACATCATCTATGAGAAGTGGCAGTTGGCAGTAAGCAGAGAGCATTTGGCCGTCAGCATTGAGCAGCTGTCATTAAGCTCTTAGCTTTCGTAAATAGAATTTCATAAACCGTATGTTTTAACTTTATATTTGTTTTCTCATTTGAAATTGGTAATAAAATGACTGTTTTCCTGTATTTAGTCTTTAAACACATGCCCATCCACCCCCATCCACCCATCTCCCCCTCCCGCGTGAGACAACAAAATCTTTGAAAAGATTAAACACTGAAAAAAATGTTACTAGTTGTTTCGCGGGGGAAGATGTTCTAAAAATATAATTCTTTTTTCCGGTATTTTCGATTTTGAATTTTTTTAAGTAAAGATTTTTATCTTTTTTTTATTTACAAATAAGTTATGTTTTACATGTACAAATCTACGAGTAGGTTTTTTTTTTTTTTTTTTTTTTTTTTACAAATAAGTCGTTTTATTTAATGTATAAACTTAACCAACTAAAAGTGACCTTTGACCCCCTCAAAAAATTACGCGGATCTGTGTTAATTTCGTATGAAAAGCCATTGATATGAAGATATATAAAGCATAAGAATCCAACCTCTACCTCCCCACCTTGTAGAAATATTTTTTTTACATTTAGGAAAGAATAAACGCTATGCAGTCTAGACAGCGTAAAAAGATCATTAACTGATTTACCAAAAATAATTAATAAAACCTATATATTTTTTAGAATAAACATAAATCAATAAATTAATTCAAAGTACAAGCACTGCTTTACATCTTAAATTGTTAGCTGAAGGCACACCCTTTTATAGTCTGATTTTGTTATTGGATTAGATCACACGTACGCCTTACAGGGTATGTTTATAGAAAGGGTTCAATCCAGATATTGACTTCAGACACTGACAACGTGTTTTTCATGTTACTACATGTACCAGTAATCAGCAAGAAACTGATGTTAAAATCGCGCGTTTAAAGCAGCCCACGACCTACATACATGTAAGCTGCATTGAACAAAAATAAGGTCATGATACATGTATGCAGGTGTCCTACTATCTAAATGTTGCAAAACCTAGTGTATGATTTTTAAATGCACAGTATTTCTTTATCTTGTCCTCTGGTTTATTTACCAAGTTCAAAGGGAAATCATCGAGATAAATTTATAATTCATCTATCTTAAGCACTTGAGTTGCATGGTTAATCATGTGAGATTATAGACGCGATTCCTTTACAAGTCCTGGCAAAAAGGTCTCAGGTAATGAAATTTCATTTGTTGCTTTCACCAGTTGTAGAAGAGCATATGATAAGATGTATATTTCATTATTTTTTCCATTAATTCTTCTTTTAATAAAGCATAGTTAACTAACATTATTAAAAGGTGAAGTTTTCATTTAATTGTAAAAAGCTCAAGAGTGACGATCAATAAGAGACAATGAGGTCTTTTCAAACAAAACAAATTGGGTGTGTAGTAAATATGGACTCCAAAGACATCAAAAGTGGATTAGGTGCGTTTGTGATATAAACATATCTTGCCTGACGGCCACATTCGTCCTGTGCTCCTTTTTAATCCTTTGCTAATTCCTGGGCCACCTTGATGCTCATTTTTCTTATTCTGATGCTGGGTAATGTTACAAAATTACTTCCTGTAATGGAAGAGTACATGTATATTCCTCTCACGGATGAGTTGGTTTACGATTAAATATGAAGTAATTGTGGTTCTATTTATGTTTTATTGATAAATAATTATCACTGTCTTTTTCCAGTAAAGTATTCATCAAAGAAATTTGACATACAAGATAACAAATAGTCTAAAACATCTGTTTCATGTTTCGATATTTAATTTCAAAATGTTAATCTAACAACCTAGCTATATGATAAACAGATGACTTTAAACCTCAGTCGTCAACTCCCCTAACTTATGCAGCAATTTAAAACTATGGACTGGATATAAGGGCAACATTATGATTTGATGGAACTGACGGTGTAAATGTTGATCAAGGCCGCATTTTCACTTTCACGCCAACAAATCATACATGTATGGTGAATGTTTCCCAAATCCAAGTCTACAGCTGTCTTGTTATACCCTCTACTTAGCCAATAAGAAGTTGGAAGGTTATTCACTATTTGCTATTCGCCATTCGAATGGCGAACCGCTGTCTGCCGGTTCGCCATTCAAATTACCGTAAATGTCCAAATAATGTTTTCTTCAAAAAACCTTAATAATGCATTATAATCCGTGTTTAAGAAGAAAAGCAAAGACATCACTTAAAGGAGAAGAGTGAGGACCCCAGACCAATGCAGCTAGGCTGACCAAAAAGATGAATATTTAGCTAGCCCGGTCAAAATTGGAGAAAAAAACCCGTTAAATACTATTATAAATATTTGTACATAAGAGTAAATTACCCGGGGGGAGGCAAAGGTCCTGGATCCCATATTTAGACTCTTATATTTATACAAGGGAGGAGTATAGGAGAGACCTTTCAAACC